GGCAAGTGACCCTGCAGAAGAGGGATTCAGAGGAGGTGCCAGGTTTCCTTGTAACACCCGTCCTTTCAGGAACTTTCCCAGTCCTGTGAGAACTGTGGTGATCTCTTCTGACCTAATTACCTTCCACTGGACTCCACCATGTCTCAGTATCATACTAGGACCAGGCTTTCATTGAACACAGGAACCTTTAGGGTTAGCTCATGCAGGCTTCAAGTGTTTGAAGACTGTTGTGTCTCCCATCTCCCTTTAATCTTTTTCAAGTCAAATATCTTTGTAATACTTTTCTTGCACTCTTCCTCTGGTTTGTATGGTTTGCAAATTCCTTATCACCTCATTTATTCTCTTTTGGGTGTACTGATAGATTCTTTTTAGCCCAGATCAGTAGATTAATAGTCCTCTGTCACCTGTGCAATTCAGAGGGTTTTCTCCCTTGGAACAAAGTATGTAAGATGTAGTCAACACTGTCATAACAAAGATACCCTAATGGGCTGGCGGCATATGGGAAGCTCTGAGTTCAAACACCAGTACCTACCAAAAATCCCCCAAACAATACAAAAATCAAAGAGACCACATATACAGTGGCTAGGGGGAAAAAAGGGAAGTTTCTTTCTTGTGTAACAGCCCAGAGTTAAGCAGCTATGTTCCATGATGTCATCCAGGATCCTAGTTTCCTTCTGTATTTAAGTTTGGCCATTCCTTCTGATGTTGTGTATATGGTTGAGCCTCTCATTCTCCATCACTCTGAATTCCTCCAGCAAGAGAAAGAGGAGGTGGAAGATAACCATGTCCTTGTAAAGGCATGTTCTGGAAATTCCATATTTAACTTAGGGTACCATCCTGTTGGTCAGAACTTAGTCACAGGCTGCTTAGCTGACAGGGAGCCTAGCACATTGGCCATATGCCCAGGAAGTTCTGCCGCTAAAATGAGGAAGGATAGGCTACTGAGGAATAATTAGTAGTTTTCTTGTTTGGCATCAGATTCACACAGTTAGTACATGTTGAGTTTATGGTCACAATGCTATTCATAGTCTAACTTGTTAATTATTTAAATGCACCACAAACATTTGCATTTAAAATGTTTAATGTAAGTAACAGACTCTCTTGATCATTAGCTCTTCTTTTTTGTTGCTAGAGTTTAATAGTTGCTTTCTTTATTTCTAGCCTCAGTATATATAAATTCAATAAATATTTCAGTAAATATTCATAGAGAGGCGCTTTGTATTATGGATATACTGTAGTGAATAATACAGATTATTCTCTCACAAAGTTACATTTAAACATACTGCTTGATTTCTTTTATGAGTGGTTTACGTTTGGCTGACAAACTTTATACAAAGGACCACTTAGTAAGTATTTTAGGCTTGGAGGACTATACGGCCTCTATCACAGATATTTAATACTTAGTTCCGCCATTGTAGCATGATGAATGGGCATGACTGTGTTCCAGGAAAACGTTGGCAGTCCTGGTTTTGGTTTGTGGGTTGTAGTTTGCCAATCCCTGGTTTCAACAGTCTATGTTTCCTTACATTCATTTGTTAACTTCTTTAACATAGTTCTTTTGTGAAAATAAGTTCTGGGTTAATTAGTGCCTTCCTACTCAGGTTTTTTTTTTCCTTTTAGTCATTTTTTTGCTATGCTGCCCAGACCTTAAGTGTTCCTCTCTCCTAGCTGGGGTGACAGGTACACCCTAATGTGTCCAGCTCTTTCATTTTCTTTACCTAAGTCATCTTGTCTCAAATTTCCATTTTCCATTCTGTACAGTTCTTGGTGCTTTGTTTCTCTTATATTTCCAGCTTATTCACTGTAAAAATTATACATTGTAGATAATCCCAGTGTCTATGTCTCTATCTCTAATCCTTACTTTTTTTTTTTTGGTGGTACTGGGAATCTAATCCAGGGCCTTATGTATGCTATGACTCAGCAGTCTACCAGTGAGCTCCATTCCCTGTCTCTTCCTTTTTTTGATCTAGTGATAACTCCAAATTCAACTTGTCTATAAACATAAATTTTATGGACTTGATATGTTTGTATTTGAAACTGTGTTTTTGTTTCTTTTCTTTTGGTTTTTTTTTATCACCGTCAAGTACTGATAGAAGTTGTAATGGTAGACGGTAGCATATGAAAATTGAAGGCAGCACAGATTATTTAGAACATGTATTTAGAATATGACAAATGTGGTATTCCTTTGGAATAATAGATCAGAAGAGACTGTGTCAGTCATAAACAGAATTTTGAGCTTAATGGTAAAGGTAATATGGAGCTATTTAAAAGAATTTAGAATAGGAAGGCTAAATGGTAAATGTCTTTCTCTAAAGAGACAGTTTCTAGGCAGTATGTAGGATAGCTCTTGGGTGTTGGATTCCTGAAGCAAGGCTGTACTGGTTGTGGGGTTTTTGCAGTTAGGCGAGAAATGATTATTTCCTGATTAAGGCAGTAGTTTTGCAGGTTTAGAAGGATAGATTTTGTTATTTAAGGAATGAGAAAAAAGGGCTCATAAATTCCTGACTTGGGAACTGAGAAAATGATTATCATTTCCTAGTAAAGTAAATGCAGAAGGGGAAAAACAGGTTGGGAGTAGAAGGAAACCTTGTAGGAAAATGAGCTCAGTTTTGTAGGTATTGCATGTAAGGGTGTCTGTGCTGTCGAGGAGGCAGTAGTTGCATGAAAAGGTCTGACTCTGAGGAACAGTTTTAATTTAGAGAAATAGCTACAGAATGTAGCAGGGCACAAGTGGTAGTTAAATCCGTATTATAATTGAAACCACCCACAGATAATATGTTGAATAAGAAATAGACCAGCTCTGTAACAACTACATTTTGGAGAGTAGGAAGCCTAGAAGGGAGGCTGAAAAATCCAATGACAGAAAAACATTTCTCGAATATGGCTTTGAGGAGGTCAATAGTGATTTGTTTCAGGGGACTGGTGATGGTAGAAGCTTGACTGCAATGACATATATGTGAATAAAAGGTGAGAAGTGAGCAGGTAAAGACAGGAAATAGAGACAGTTATTACAGAACTAGAATTCTGGTGTGGAAAATGTGTGTCAGAGTACTTTTGATGGCAAGTCTCGGGATATTCAATTTAAAATTAAGCTTAAATGATAAAGGGAAGTTTATTGGCTTATTAAGTGGAAGAGTCCAGAGGTAGTGCTGGTGGTTAGAAGGTTTTTGGCTTGGGGTTTGCAGGCAGGGGTGGTGCAAGGACTAGGGCAGAATATAAGAGTGGGGTAGACCTTTCTAACTAGGCTAAATTAGCTATAGCTTTCCGAATAGGCCTTATATATTATAGCTCTCAAAATCTAGTCCTGGTGTTTCATGGCACATTTATTTGGTTGATGGCTGTTCTACTACAAAATACGAATTTAGCATTATTAATTCTTTGTTATTCACATGAATACAGCATTGGCACAAAGGTGTGAACCTGAAGATCCTTACAAGATGAGAAGCTTTTGTGTGCAGGTGAAAATGAACTTAGTCTTGACAAAATTATGAGGTCATAAAAGTGACCTGTTGTGATCATGCTTACCTGCCTCTATTTCTTCTATTGTTCCATCCCTCTTCCTTTTAGGTTACTTTCTCTTTTCAAATAAAAAAGATGTATTTGTATAATATATTAATTATTCTAGGTGTCTGCATTTTAACGTTGTCTTCAAGTTGGGGACTGTTAGATTTAGTGGAGTTTGAATTAGGTAAACTTAGAGAAATGTGATGTCACAATCTTAATTCTGTCCTACTTTGCGTATAAAACATAAAGTAATTTGAATTCCTTCACATTAATAATGCATTAAGAGTTGCATAATTTAAAAGCTTAGAGAGCCAAGTAAGTTGAAAACTGTGACATTGCAGTGTACTTTAGGATTGGTCTTGAATTTCAGAGCTTTAAAGTACTGTAGGTCTTTAGAGCATTCTCCCTATAAAATGCCACTAACCTGCACGGATTGAAAATCTTTTATGGTAAAAAAATATATATAAATGATCTCTTATAATTGGGAACAGTTGGGAGACTATTAGGGAAGACCTATGTTTATTAATACCCTTGAAAGCAGGGTGCTTGCTTTAGGAAGGTTAGAATAATGATTAGAAAGGGGTTTTTCCTTCCCCTTCCTTATCCTTGTGCCTGGTGATGATTCTCTTTTCCATACTGCGTCCTCTGGCTTTTTGTAGCATGGTGAGCATGCTGACCTACTGAAGGTAGTACATACAGATACGTGCGATGTAGCTCAGTGTAGAATGCTTGCCTAGCATATGTGAGGCCCTGGGTTTGACACCCAGCCCTCTGTGTGCGCGTGTTTGTGTGTGTGTGAGAGAGAGAGAGAGAGAGAGAGAGAAGACATTCCAATGAGAGAGAGAGAGAGAGAAAGAGAGAGAGAGAAGAGAGAGAGAGAGAGAGAGAGAGAGAGAAGACATTCCAGTCAGTGGATACAAATAAACTTGGTGTAAACTGAATGAAGAAAAAACCAGCTTGCCTGAAGTGAAGGGTCTTCTGTGGAAGTAATAGGAGCTTGAATTTGATAATAGTCAGCCTTGTGTATGGTCTGAGGTGAAGACTTTGAAGTTACAGAATGCACAAGGAATATGGAAAATTAATCTGGCTGCAGCCTTTTTTTTTTTTCCTTTTCCCCTGCCTTGCCAATTTCACTGTTTATTTATTCTGTCCCTCCCCACCCCCCCAAAAATAAAGATCATTCTATATAGTGTTTTTCAAAGTTCAACATTGGTCATTCTTAAGAGAAATTTATCTTAATGTCGTCAGTGTTTCTTTGAGAGTTGGAACTGTTGACTAACTTACACACTGAAATCTCTCTTTGTGCCTCATATCACACAGCTATATTTGTCAGTGTGCTTGGGTGACTCCTTGTAACTATTCACTTTGTCCAAGGTACTGACCTCTGAGTTCTTAGTGTGTAGAAGAAGTAGCACTGTTGGAAACAATGCCTATTCTCACTCTTTGATTATAGTCCAGTTCAGTCCTTTTTCCCTCCCTCTTTCATTTTATCTCAGGTCAACAGGACGTACTGCTGTGGCACCTACCGAGCAGGTCCTATGCGGCAGATAAGTCTTGTTGGAGCAGTAGATGAAGAGGTTGGTGATTATTTCCCAGAGTTCCTCGATATGTTAGAAGAATCACCATTTCTGAAAGTGAGTTAATTCAGATTATTTAAGTTCTGATCGTTATTTAAGTGGATACTTGATATTAAAGAGTATTAAGCTAACCTTGCCTATTAAAACTTAATTTTATACAATGTTTTGATTAGAAATGTTCAGAAAAGTATTGGAACAAAGTACTTTATTCTTTAACAGAAATTACTGTGATTATAGCATTTCTTTATATCTTCTTGCAAAAAAAGCTTTTTAGAACTTTTATTCAGATAGGGAAAATTAATCTGTAGATAGCCTAAAATTATTTTAATGTGACTCATTTGTTTGATTTCTAGATGACTTTGCCCTGGGGTACACTTTCCAGCCTCCGACTACAGTGTAGGTCCCAGAGTGATGATGGGCCTATAATGTGGGTAAGGCCAGGAGAACAGATGATCCCTACAGCAGATATGCCAAAGTCACCCTTCAAAAGACGACGGTAAACATTTATTTTTCCCAGATAAGCAAAATCGTTCTTGTATTAGTTGGTTGCTGATAAAAATAGTTGAGACCTGAGTATAGTTTGAAAACCATTTGTCTAGATTATTTGAAGAGCTTCCTGGAGTAAATGTTCTGGTTGTCAGTTCCTTAGTCCTAATAAATACATTTAATTTTTACTTGTTTTTCTGAAAATCTGGGTCCTAACTGCCTGCAGGATAAAAGATCAAGCTCCTTAATATGGTCTATAAGAGTCTTTCATAATCTAGCCCCAACGGTACTTTTCTACTATCTGTTTCTGGTCTCATCCTACTGTAGTAAATTCTGTTTCCAAACCATCATTTTTCATTACTCTTTGCTTTTGCATTGTTCTTTTTTTTCCCCCCCTTGATGGTACTGGGGTTTGAACTCAGCTCGCTAGGTAGGTGCTGTACCACTTGGGCCACTCTGCCAGCCAGTTCATTGTTCTTTTTACTTTAACTTGTACCCCTCCCTCACCTTCCTCTCTGCCTAGCAAACTCTTTAATAAATTTTCAAGATTTACCTTGGATGTCACCTCTTTTGTGAAGCTTTCCATTAGATAATACAGTGGTCTCTTCTCTGTGCTCCTATAACATTCTGTTCATTAATGATCTCTTTGCATATTTTTGTTTCTTACTGTATTTTGAGTCCCTTGAAGATAAGAACTGTTTATTCATCCTTGTCCTCATGACACATAGTAGGTATTCAGTATTTCCTGAATGAAATATGTAGTACAGAGCTGTACTACATAACTGTTGGAACTAATCAAGAGTTAGCATGGTACTAACATTTTTTTGTCTTTCATAATCATAAATATCAATTGCTTACTTTGATACTTTGACAGATCTCATTTAATGAGACTGAAAATGATTTCTATCTGCTTAGTTTGTGGAAGTAGCAGCTCTTAAGTGCTCAAAAGTGAGTTTTAAAGGACTAGTCTAAACATTTAACCTAAACCTTATAGGAGAGTGATACTTGAGCTAAGCATAGAATAAACCTTAGTTCTTAAAACGATATATGAAAACACTTTGTAACAGGTGGTAGTGTGGTAAAACATAACAATCAATGGAACTTTTTGCAGATGGCTAGAACACAGCAGTTTTTGTTATATGTATGATGGATCTAGAAATTCTACCAATTCTTGAGTACTATATGTATTTCTTGTTCTGTATTTCCAAAAAAAAAAAAAAATCATTGTTTGTTTCTGATTATTATAAATGTTACAAGAAAATAGAAAAGAGTAAAAAGAAAGCAAAAATTTCCAGCCATGATCCCACCCAGTTAGGTATATTAACTGTTCAATTTTTAGTCTGTATATACTAACTATAAATTTTCTTTATACAAAAAATGGACTTATGGGCTGGAGGCATGGCCATAAATAGGCATCTGCCTCCTACGTATGAAGCCCTGAGTTCAAATCCCAGTACTGCAAAAAAAAAAAAAGACACATTCTTTACATGATGTGCACCCTAAAACTTGGGTGTTCTTTTACATAGGTTTATGAAGATTATTTCTAAATGACTGTGCAATTGCACTGTTTGGTTGTATCCAAATGTATTTAATTGTTTTTAGTGTAATATAAACAGTATTTTGACAAACATGACAGTGGTGTGCTGGAGCCAATTTGAACCTGCTCACGAGGGCCATAATTGGCACTATCTTCCAATTGAATGATGTCACATTATTCTTAAGAGTATTTACCACAGAAATCAGCAAATTCGGTGCAAATCAGCCACCTTTGTCTCCCCACAGCCAGGTGTAAACATGTATAACATTCCACTGATTGTAGATGGGTGAGAGAATGGATGATGGTTGGTAAATATATATCTTTGTGCATATGTATGCTTGTTTTCTTAGTAGAAATTCCTAAAGGCTCAAAGTAAACACATTTCTAATGGATCTCCAGAAATACACCAATTTATATTCCCACTCATATACTAAAACATCTTCTACTAACATTCTTTTTACCTTTATTGATCTGATTGGACAAAAATGTATCATTTTAATTTGCTTTTCTTTGTTATTTCTTTTTTGGTGATTCCCTTTTAATTTCCTTAAGCTACGTTTCTATCGGGTGTTTTTTTTTTTTTTTAAAATTCTATGCATATCATGGCTATTTAGCCTTTGCTTTTTATACTGTAAGTTTTTCTTTTAGCGTTAGTTTTTATTGTAGTCAGAAGTTTTGGTTTGCATATGTTACCTAGGTATATTTCCCTCTGAGACTGCTCCCTTAGTAACAGACTTAGAAAGGCCTTCTTACAGTATTAAAAAATACTTCCATTTTCTCTTATTAATCCTTTGATTGCAAGTAGTCACATATTTGATGTACCTGGGACTGGTTTCTATATAGAGGAAGAGATTTAACATTTTTTACAAGTAGTTAGGCAGCTGGACCAACATCATTTAATGATTTATTTTTTCTCCAGTTATCTGAGATGCCATTAACTTTTACTTCTCTTGGGAGTAAGTATTCTTCGGTGTGGTATTACAAAGCACTTTTGAGTCAGAGTGAGTGAATCTTCTGTTAATGTACCAATTTATACTAAAAACACATTAGGTACTGAAGATACTGAAACTGGCAGACTCAGTGTGAGTCTGCTGATGAAGATAATCTGTGGATTCAAGAATACTGGAGTTAAAGGAACACATGCAGCAGTATCTTTTTAAAACTTAAATCGTACATAGGGCTTAGAATGAAAAATCCTAAGATCACTGATAATCTTTTTTTTCTTTTTTGGCAGTACTGGGGCTTGAATTCAGGGTCTTGGGCTTGCTAGGCAGGTGCTCTACCACTTAAGCCATATCCCCAGTTGTTTTGCTTTAGTTATCTTTCATATAAGGCTCAAATTTTTGTCAGGGATCAGCCTTGGATCACAGTTCTTCTATTATGATTACCAGTGTAGCTGGGATTATAGTCTTGCACCACCACTGTTGGCTTGTTTGTTGAGATGGGGGGGCTCACTTTTTGCTTTGAGTGACTCATCACTGCAGTCCTGCCAGTCTGCTTCCTGAGTAGTTGGGATTATAGACAGGAGCCATTGCATCTGGCCTTTTAAAAATTTGTTTTTGATTTGTTTGTTTTTGGCGGGACTGGGGTTTGAAGTCAGTGCTTGCTAGGCAGGTGCTCTACCACTTAAGCCACTCCTCCAGCCTTGTTTTTTATTTTTTATTGACACATGATAATTACATTTATGGGGTACAGTGTGATTATTTGATATGTGAATACAATATGTAATGATCAAGTCAGAGTAATTAGCCATTTCCATTTCCTCAAACATGTCTTATTTTTTGTGTTGAAAACCTTTGAACTCTTCTAGTTATTTTGAAATGTATGATAAAATTTTATAAACTATAGTCCCACCCTCCTGTGCTATAGAACACTGGAACTTATTCAGATCTTACTCTTCTTATCTAACTGTTATCCCCTTTCCCTCTTAATCTTCCTAGCCTCTCTCTTAGTGACCCTATTCTACTCTCTACTGTACGGTAAACTTTTTTGACTTTGACATAAATACCTCAGTTTTTTATATGAAAATTGTTTGGAGCTCTATGTCCCTCTGCTTCAGGCTCATTTCACAGTTATTAATCTAGGATTTCCCAGTTAATGCTTCATTGCTTTAGCTGTGGTTACTGTCTCCCTAGGTTTACTTTCTTTTCTTGCTTGAGGATATTCTCAAGTAGTAAGAAAAGAAAGACATTCTGAGTTAGTATATGTTTGAAAACTTCTTTTTCAGTCATTGCATGTGATTCACAGGTTAGCTTGAGTCCAGAGGATGTGTTTTCTTTTAGGATTTTTAGCACTGATGTGCTGTCTTCTAACGTCGAATATTATTTATGAGAAGTTGAAATGCCAGGGTAATTTTTGTTTTTTTGTAGTTTTACTCTCTGATAGCTTATAGCATCTTCTAGCACTGATAATCTGAAGTTTCATAGTATGTCTTGGTTTGGGTTTTCCATTCTTATTTTTAAACCTTTTTTTGTTGTTTGGTAGGCCCTCTAAATTGAAAGAGTAACACCTCTTTTCTGGGATTTGTGTGTGGGGGGGGCGGGTACTGGGGCTCTGCACTTGCAAAGCCAGTGCTTTACTGATTGAGCCATACTTCTAGTCCATTTTGCTTTGGTTATTTTGGAGATGGGCTAGCCTAGAACTATGAGTCTCCTGATGTCCGCCTCCTAAATAGCTAGGATTATAGGTATGAGCCACTGGTGCACAGTTCTGGGATTTTTTTTTTTTTTTATGCTTAATTGCTTTGATAATTCTCTGTTTTCACTGTTTTTTTGAAACTACTATTTGTTGAATATAGCTGTCCTGATTTAATGTTTTTTCTGTTACTGATCTTTGTGGCTTTTGATGTGGGAACATTTATTTGACTTTTGTCTTCCAACTTTTTTTTTTTTTTTTTTCAAGGGGGGCTTATTTATTTTGACTGCACTACGGTTTGAACTCAGGGCTTCCCGCTTACTAGGCAGGCACGCTACCACTTGAGCCACACCTCCAGTCCTTACCTTCGCTTTTGAACTTTTAAAAATTTCAACATTTTCATTTTGGCTTTTGTCATCTGGTAATTCTTGGGTGACCCCCCATTATATTTTGGGTTAAAGCGCTGCACTTATTGGGAGTTCTGTGTATACTTCACTGAGACTTGTTAACAGCTGGTGACAAGCATGGAGCAGGCAAGGGAGCAGATATGGCAGTGGACAGTAAATGGCACATCTACATGTCAGAGGGTTATGTTAATTATAATCATATGGCAAATTGAATGTGTTTAGAGTAGAACAGTCAGGGTATTTGACTGAAATCTTATGAGGATGGTTTGAACTATAAACAAAAAAATGTTGACTCATTGTGGTTAATTAGTAAAATAAAGTGCTACCCTGTGTGTCAAGAAGTCTGGAGAGCTAGGTGCCAGTGGCTCACACCTGTAATCCTAGCTACTTGGAATGAAAAGATCAGGAAGATCTTTGAAGCCAGCCCCAGGCAAATAGTTCGTGAAACCCTATCTCGGGGAAAAAAAACCCAACACAAAATAGGGCTGGTGGAGTGGCTCCTGTGATATAGTGTCTGCCTAGCAATCATGAGGCCCTGAGTTCAAACCCCAGTGCTGCCAAAAAAAAAAAAAAAGGGTCTGGAGAGATTGGCTGTAGGCATCATATGTTCAGCTTGATAAAGATCCAGGCTATTTCTGTTTCTTAGTCTCTTTGTCTTGGCTTCTACTCACACTGGCTCTGGCTCCCTTTTTGTTTGCTGGATGGTTATTGCAGTTTAGGCATCACATCTGTATCTGGTGTTAAACTTCTTTCTTATGGAGCTAGGAAGATTCCCAGAAAATCCTCAGCAGCCCCCTTCCTTTCAGAGTATCAGATAGAATCAGAATCAACTCATATCTCTTCCTAAAATAGCCGCCGGCAAGGGACATGCACTCAGCATGATTTCACAGGACTCCTCCAAAGGTACTTGTGGAGCTTGTGAGTGAGCTCTCACAGAGGGTGGGGTCGAATGTCTAATGAAAGTCAGGAACAGTGAGGAAGAATGAGTGCTGGGACATACTGCTTTCTGACTGTCTTCATTTCAACTGCAAAGGGTGGTGAGAGATTGCTTTACTTGCAGGATTTCATTGTAATTCCCCTTTTCTCAGCCTTACTTCATTTCTGTCTCTTAACATTATTGTGTCTTTTTTTTTTTTTTGGTCTGTTGGGCGGGTCTGCTGGCTTTTTGGCTGCTAGTTCCTTGTTGTATATTCTAGACCTGTGGCATTTTCTACTCAGTTTCATTACTCTAGATAAATCGTTCTTACCATGCAAAACTTTGTTGATAATGCTCATTTACTAATTCATTTGCTTTGTTGCTTCTTCATACCTTTACTATTCAAAATAGACTGTTACATTAAGAAATATTTGAGCACATAGAAAATCAGACTATAATGTAATAAACTTTCATGTCCTGAATCAACATTTATTAGCTCTTGCCCAGTTCTATTCATTTGTTTCCCATCCATCCCCCATCTGCTCTGTTCTTCTCCCAGTATTTCATTTGAACATGGAAGGGAAGCACACGATACTCAGTTTGCCACCTTGAATCCAAAGACTGTAGACTATTTTGAGAGATGAGTGAATGAAATGAGGTTGATTGAAGTGAGGGTAGAGAAGAAGAGGACAGCTTAAACTCTGAATTATGTGTTCTGTTACTGGACAACCAAACACTACATTTGATCCTAATCAAAGATTTAGCTTATACTTTATTATGGGCTACATAATAATTACTACATAATAATTAGAACATAATAAGTATTACAATATAGAGTGCTAAAATGCTAATGGTCAAAATCATTGTACCCTCGACACCTTCTTCATACTTTAAATCTGATATTACAGCAGACTTTTCCACTTTATTTTCCTTTTTTTTTTTTTGTCTCTGTTCTTTTGTTTTACAACAACATCAACTCTAGATCAATGAATGAAATTAAAAATCTCCAGTACCTACCTCGGACCAGTGAACCCCGTGAAGTCCTCTTTGAAGACAGGACCAGAGCTCATGCAGATCATGTAGGACAGGGGTTTGACTGGCAGAGCACGGCCGCTGTTGGGGTTTTGAAAGCTGTGCAGTTTGGTGAATGGTGAGTTAATGGAATTCAAATGCAAGGTTGGCTAATGTTGTCTGAGAAAATTAGACTCTTGTTTAAAAGGTGAGGGGCCAATTTTTAAATTGTAAAATACACATCACACAGTTTACCATCTAAACACTTAAAAATGCGTATTCATTAGTGTTAAGTATAATCACATTGTTGTGAAAAACATCCCCAGAACTTTTTTTATTTTGTAAAACTGAAACTTTGTCTGAAAACTCCCTTACTCCCTCTTTTCTCCCCAAACCCTTGGCTCTGATGCCCATCGTTCTCCTTTCTGTTCTGTGAACTTAACTACTTTAGATATCTCGTATATGAGTTTTGTCTTTTTGTGACTGGCTTGCTTCTCTAGTAATGACCTTGACGTTCATCCATGATTGTAATAAGTGTCCTAATTTCATTCATTTTTAAGGCTGAATATAATCCGTTTTACACAGTTTATTGTGTTGGGTATACCATTTTATATTCAGTTGGAAACTAATTTTAACAAAGCTCAGGACATAGAGATGCATGCTGATTCAAGAACTGCAGCTGCATCTTGTTGAGAATAAAACTTTTTTTTTTTTAAGGCAGGATCTCATTACGTAATCCAGGCTGGCCTTGAACTCTCCTGCCTCTGCACAAGTATGTGCCACATGCCCAACTTAGAATAAAACTATCCTCTTTTTATGCCCTGTTGTTTTAATTTGCAACAACTATGTTGATTTTAATTTTTTTTTAAATTTACTGGTTTGCATTTTTTTTTTTTTTAAATTGTAAAGAAGCAAGTGCATATTTAGTTCTTTGACGATACGGTTCTATTTTTTTGCTAGCAGCAACATTTCTAGGAACTAGAAAACTGAAAGTTGTCATTATCTTTCATTGTGGATACCTGTCCCTAAAACTTATTTGTTAACATTAGGAGTGATCAGCCTCGCATAACCAAAGATGTGATTTGTTTTCATGCTGAGGATTTTGCCGACGTTGTACAGAGACTTCAGTTAGACCTTCACGAACCTCCAGTTTCTCAGGTAATAATCGCTTTTAATACTCTTTGAGTGAAATATTAGAGAAAAATTCAATACCCATTTCATTTTGCATTTTGTCTTATACTTGGATTACCAGGATAGTGGATTTAATGTGATTTTTATTAACTTTTGTGTGCATGGTAGAGGGAGGTGCCAGGAATGATTTAAATTAAGAGCTTCCCAAGAAGAATGCTTGAGATCCTTGTAGCCTTTGGGATGGCAGGTAGGCCAGGGATGGTCAGAGGGTCCAGGCTGCTCACTTCTGGCAAGGAGCAGTCTCATTTGTTTAAACTCATTGTACTGCGGGACCTCAGTTGAAAAGGTTGGAAGACCTGAAATGTTTTCCTCCCTGTGACAAAGAACATTGATACTTAGCTGCACTTTCAGGTGCTTTTACTAGGTGATTCCATAGGCCATCTGATCTGCCCTTTTGTCACTGGAGAGATGGTAAAATATGAGGAAAAATGGGTCCAAATAGGACATTCTAGAAAGTTTGTGTATGAAAATATCATAGCAAAACCCCTTTGTACAATTACTACATGCTAATAAAAATTTGAAAAGTGTTTTACCTGATTTAGTGTTATTCTAACACATTTTATCCCTACTGTTTTCCTGTGCTAATTATTTTGACTAAATTATTACCTAATTAAAAGTCTTACATACCTTTTTGCCTTTGTAGTGTGTGCAGTGGGTGGATGAAGCTAAACTAAACCAAATGAGGCGGGAAGGCATTCGATATGCTAGAATTCAGCTATGTGACAATGACATCTACTTCATCCCTAGAAATGTTATTCATCAGTTCAAAACAGTGTCAGCAGTGTGCAGCTTAGCCTGGCACATAAGGCTTAAACAGTACCACCCTGTGGTGGAAGCCACCCAAAACACAGAAAGCAATTCCAACCTGGACTGTGGCTTCACTGGAAAGAGAGAATTAGAAGTTGACTCACAGTGTGTAAGGATAAAAACGGAGCCTGAGGACAAGCGCCCAGAGGTGCAGCTTTTGACGGCTGCTTCGGCATCCTTCCCACCTTCATCAGAACTCCATCCGCAGCAAGATCAGAAGGCTCAGCCTGTTCCAGTGTTCAAGGTGGAAAGCAGACTGGACTCTGACCAGCAACACACCCTCCAGGAACATGCAAGCACTCCTGTGTGACATGTACATATTCAAACACATTTTTTAACTTTTTTAAATTTTGATGTGAAGTTATAGTTTTATAACTGGCTTATGTTAAGTTTTATTGGAGAAATCTTGCCTATAATTCTATAAAGAGAAATGACATTCCACAAATGTCAAGCATATCTTTTTTACACAGATTATGCAAAGTTAAGAGTTGTATCTTATCCCGTTAGTACAGTATGTAATAGTGGGTCTGCTGCTACGTTCTGTTTTAAGGTGTGAGGTAACAATTCAATCTCTTCTTCAAATCAAAACAAGAATTCTCTCAAATAACAGATTCTTATGTGGTAAATTATTCACTTCCCTTAATTTTATCTTGCCTTGTCTTTTGCTATATTTTCTGTTTTTGTGATAGACAGATTTTTGGTTTTGTACTTGTGTCTTTATGGCACACAGTCAATTTCCACAGTAAAAATGGCATGGATTGCAGGAAAGAGATCCTGCACACAGGCAAGTAAGTTATTTAGTTCCAACCACAAAGAACAAGTAGCTTCTAAGGAAAATTCAGTGGCTCTCTGGTTTCTTAACAAAACACAAAGCACAGCACTTTCTGATCCAGACTGTCTTTTTTGTATCTGTTATTTAAAGCCCAGTGGATATTTCAATTAAAAAATGTAAAGATGAATAGTCCTTGGTCATTCATTATCCATGGTTCAATAATTTTTTTCTAAGTATATGGTAACTGTGGAAGACACTTTGGGCAAAGGAAATAATGTTGATATGACACTCTTGTTCTGCCTCCTAGCATCCTCACCTTTCATATGGAGACTTTTGCTTCTTAAACTGATCTCAAGGCCCAAATTTAGAGAATAACATCAGGTTTCTGATGAGGCTGATCAAACTTTGAGCATCAAACTTAGGAGAAACTACTCTTGTGGCTTGACATCAACTTCTTCATGATCTGGTTTTGAGGTATCTGGTTTTGGGACACTTCACAGTTCTATCTGGTAAATAACTGGGTTCATTTACTGTTCCTCTGGTTTGCTCTTTTCCAATGAAGAATAGGGCACTAGACTTTAACCTAGAGTTTCTGGTAGCCTAAAATTTAGTACCTGGCTATTTCATTTCTTTTTTTTAACCCTCTCTTCTTTTTTCAAATAGGCACAGTCATACAGCTATAGTGTGGTCTTAACTTTCTATTATTTTAGAATGTTAATGTGATACATAATACATTTTCCCTTAGTTAATAATATAGTAGGCCTTTTAAAAATTATTATTAAAGGAAGAGTACTTTCCACACCTAAGACCAGATTCTTGTATCTACCTGGTTACAGTGCAATTTGATTTTTTTTTTTCTGGTTGGTAAGATTTGAAATATTTGCATTAGCATAAGCAAAAAAAAAAAAAAGATGCTGCTTTATTATGTCTATCACCATGAAAAGTTAGCTGCATCTTTTAAAATATCAAATACGACTTTTCTCTAAAATATTCTGAAATAGGTTAAATCTTATATAAATATTACTTTGTGCAATATTGTTGTGTAGTTAAATGCATATTAGCAAAGTATAGAGGTCACTGTGTAACCGATAGAAAAGTAACCATCAGCAAATACTACAGTGATTAGGTAGAATCTGTATTATTCCTTATATATATGTATATGTATGTATTCTCTGTTACAAAGGACGAAGACAAATAGGGAAACATTTCAGTGTAAATCATTTATGAATTGGAAGTGATGTTGGTTTTAGTTATCTTTGTAAATAAGGTAATTAGAATGGTATGAAAGGTAATGTGATTATTACAGGAGTGTTTTTAAATCCTGTGTATAAATTCTAGGGTCAATTCTAGCTTATCAAGACTAGTTTTTAAAGGAACTCTGAGGGTATATTTTGTTGTTATTTTGTGGGGAAAGGGGTTTATCACAAGTGTATGGGTTTGGGTTATTTCTTATTTTTACTTTTCTGTCCAGAAGAATTTCATAGAGCTTTACCAGGCTGTGCAAAGTAAAATTCTTCTCAGGCAACATTTGCTTTTAAAAATAATCATGAAGAGTAAGGTGGTTAAAGCAGAAAGGTTTTATTTTTGTTTTTCTTGTCTTCCAAGAACTGATTTCCCCATCTCCTACTTGCCATCCAGCAGATGCCATCTGTCATCTAAGCTGGCATTATTAATAAACAAGGAGACTGTCTCCTCACAGCCAGCACTGTGTATAATCACTCAGGAACCAGCGGATCTGCAAAGACCTACAATCAAAAAAAGCAAATCCCCATTTTCCTTTTATAAGACATTCTACCCTCACCTCCAATGGAAACACATTAAAAGAGTATAAAAGTGCTTAAAATCATGGACTAATAAATTTATTATATGTTAGAATTGCAATAGAATGAAGAGAAACATTTAGCTAGTAATGTATCTGAAAACTCTGAATGTCCTATGTGAGTATTAGATTTTGATAGCATGCTTTAAAGACTGATGAGTATAGAAGCAGAAGTTGTGAGATTCTTGCTGCTTTCAAAACTGTATCCTAGTTTAGAGATACAAATGATGGCAACTTTCTAAATCATTAAATTACTTGGTTTGGTGGAATGAGGCAGCCATCTGGTGTTTTCTGATTTGTAACGTGGTGATGGCAGTGAAGTTGTAACTGAAATTTAAGCTGATCTTCCTTTCTGGTGTATTATCCATTGTGCCAACTTTTGAGATTACTTGCAGAATGTGGCTGTAAGTTTTAGTACTTTGTGGAGCAGAGGGATAATTTTAAAATGTGCTTATGGAAAGGACATAATAAATATTCCTAAAATTAAATAGAATGATTTTATGGTAGCCATTAAAAAGGATAAGTCTTCCCCTATCCCAGAAGTCATTCTATAATTACCAAGATATGCTAGGAGAAGGGTTATGATTCTAAGAGGTATCCCAAATTCATAAAGCAATAACAATAAAAACCTACATATTGGCTCCCTCCTCCAAAGTTTTAACTCTTTAAAAATGAATTCTTAGGCTTAACTGTACTTTAAATTTGCTTATTCAGTTCTTAAAATTTGCTTAACTGGTACATTATTTTTAGTTAAAGACTTACAAAGTGCCCTGTCTCCTCAGAGACAGTGCACTGTCAGTTGACTAATATTATAAGCTCTTCTATGGGGAAAAGGAGCTTACTAAATTCTTTACTAAACCTTAGAAAAAGATGTATCATCAGTTTTAATAGGCATAAAGATCACACTTAATGACTGAAGAAACTTTCTTTTTGCCTTCCCCCTATATAAATATTATTGTCTAGAAGGAAAACTTAATATAGGAACAAGATTCCAAAATCCATGAAAAATATATTCTTAGTGAATATATTTTTGATCATTAATACTAGTCCATTATATTTTCATCTGTATTTGCCATTAAAATTTTATTTTCATTTAAACCTTTAGGATAATGTGAGTTTATGTATTTCTGATAAATCTGTTTCATCACCACTATAGGTTTTTTAAAAAGAACCTTTCAGTAGCACATGCCAGAGTTTCACACATCTGTGCTAAGTTTCATGTTTTTAATACAGGTTGTAGCTGTATTTATTGGTTATGCAAGTAGAGGAAATGCACAATACAATTTTTTTTCCCTTAAGTGCATACAGGATTTCTCATCTTGAAAGTTTGTTGCTTTAAAAGTGAGTATCTCTCCATAAATATTATGGCCTTCCATTTTCTTCATAAATGTTTTAGGATCCACTTGTGCATGTAGTTGAGACCACATGTCTCTTAAAATAGCACTTTTCAATTCTCTCTAAAGAAATACTATGTACTACTTCTATCACATGTTGTAAATTTTTCATGTAATGGTGTTTTTTGTGACTAAACTTCATTTTGATTGGCAGCTAAGACTTCCCCCCCCCCTGTGGCTTTAATTTATCTAAGAGATCTTTGCATATAGATGAAATGTATAATTTGCCTGGCGGACTATTTGCGTTGTGTGGCCTTAGTTTGTTTATTGACATTAACAAGTGTTTTAAAAAGGTTTTTAATGAATAGTTTAAATCTAAATTTGTGTGAATAATAATCCTTTTAACACAGTGCTTTTTTGTAGCTGTCTTAAGTGTGTTAAATTGTTAAGCTATTTCTTTGTAAAATAGGACAATGGAATGCATAGAGGTTTTTTTTCCCCTGTAAAGTATTTTTTTAATAAACAAAGTCTGATTTGTCCTTTACTGATGGTTTCATCACAAAATGAGTAGCACATGTGAATTCTAGCTATACCTGGAACTTGTTTTTAGAGTACCAATCTTCCTCCCTGCCTTCTCTGTGCACTATTTAAGTATTCTTAAGGAAATCTTGGACTTTTCTTTAAGTCATGAATGTGTGGGAAATATCCCACCTGGATTGAGATGAAGTTACTTTGTAGAGAAGAAAAATTACACCTGCGTTTGTGGCGGTTACTTCTCTTGCACTTAAATTGGTTTATGGTAAGAGAATCAAATTTGTATCCTGGTGAGGTCTGTGTTCTTGAAAATGCATGGAGTAATGAGATGGTATGCAGACTTCTAACATGTCTAGGTACTGTGTGACACAGCAAAATAGACTTTTGGGTTGGTTGGTGTGTGTATATGTTGTGTACTTTTTAATTGAGGTCCTTGTCCTAAGCACAGGTGGCTTTTAGTTCTGACTAGGAATGGGAAAGGGACATTTGTTGAGTAACTGCCATGGGTAGCCTTAAGTGATGAGGGTATCTCATATCCCTCACAGTCTGTAGTGAGAAGGTAATTAGTTCCACAATACAGGTGAGAAAACAGGCTTGTTATACTGAATAAATCTACACTCACTGCTCATTACTGGGAACCAGGGTTTGAATGCAGGCAGTTCTGGGTTCAGAGCTCATGCTGCATACATGTTTCTAATAGGGCTCCAGAAACATCAGACTCAGTGTCTCCTCTCACTTTCCAAAACACCTCGTGTGTGCTAAACAGTGAAGTAAAATGCTCTTGCTATTAGTGTAGTTTAGGTCTTAAATATCTTGAAACATTTTGACATTTATCTTTTTTAGATTGGCTATTTGCCTTGAAATCCAACAGAAATTTTAATGCTCAGCTCTAAGGAAGGGAAAAGCTGCTAAGGGGTAGAAGCAGTAGGAAACCACTGCCAATGTGTGGGTGAAGCAATTTTTAGATGTCAATTCTGTGGGAGTTCCTCGTAGTCGATTTTCCTCATCAGTGAAATAGGAATGGCTGCCATTTGACACCGTGTTAATGGATTATAAAAATATCTATAAAAGGTTTTGTGCTAGGCCTCTTAGGCGGTCTGAAGTGGTAGCTATTATCCGTTACTAGCCTTGCTTGACCTAAATGCTACAAGGTAAGCAAGAACACAGCTTCAGATAAGGTGCGAATGGCTCTTAGGGACAAACCCTTAGCCGCAGGTGTGAAAAACAAGAGGAGGAAAGGGGGGAGCCCGGTTTGAGATACCCTAAATTCTCAAGAGTGCAACTGCCTAGAACAGTTTCTGCAGTCACCTTCCGTTACACTGCCCGGGAACAGTCTCCAGTGACTGCTCCAGGCCTTGTGCACCCTTCACTGGTCACCAGAGGCTTTAGTTCCAGAGCTGCTGAGGGACAGGGTGTATGTGTGTCACCAAGCCTGCCGGGCCCTGCGTCCCAAATACTGAGACCCTGTGTGCGGGGCTCATGCCCGACGCTGGCGGGAAACCTAGATAAACTACAGAAACGCAAAGACGATCGACTGCTACAAAGACTCGGGCTGGGGCGGCGGGGCACTAGACAGAAGCCAGCGCCGACCTTCGAGGGGGACGCCCGGGAAGCCGTCCAGCCAGGGCCGGGGCGGAGGGTGCAGGGGGCCCCGGCGGCGGCTGCGCGGAAAGGTGCGGGCGAAGGGCGGAGCCTCGGCGGCGGCCCGGGCGGAAAGCGGAAGCCGCGGCAAGGCGACGCGCTCCGCCAGCTGAGCTCGCCCGCCGCGGCCGGGCCGTGCTGGGTCGCGCTGCCCTCCACTTCGGGCCGAGGCCTAGCACAGGCCCCCTTCCCTCCGACCCCCGCCGTCCGCAGCTCACCGTCCGTCTGTCTTATGGCCCGCGCAGTGACTCGTAGGTCCGACTAGGGACGGCGGCGCGGTGCGCAGCGCGGCCTCCGAGGCTGGCGGCCGCCGCGGTCTCCATGGTAACGGCGCGGCCGGCGTCTCGGCCTCCGGGGGAAGATGCGGCCTGCGGGGCCCGCCGCCTGGCCCCCGGCCTCCCGGCGCGGCCCGGGTCACTGAGGAGGCCGGTCCTGCCGGGCAGCGGGCAGCGGGTGAGCGAGCGCGGGGCGCGGGCGGCTGTCCCCGGGCCACCGTCGCGGGGCCTCCCTCTGGGGTCGCCCCCTGTGGGTTTTGCTGGGCGAACAGCGGGGGTGGGGGAGAGGGATGGGGGGACAGAGGCGACAGGTCACCGAGAAGCCCAGGAAAGCGGGGTTTGAGGTCGACCCCCCTCTTGAGCAACCGGCTTCGCCGACTGCTTTCCTTCCTTTGCAGTGAATTCCCACTCTGGCTGGAGACCCAGATGGCCTCAAATGAGAGAGATGCTATATCGTGGTATCAAAAGAAGGTAATGGCCGTTTTTTATTTGCAAATAGACTTCGTGCAGAAAAGCTCCACTATAGAACAGGTGACTTTTTCTGAGTTTGGTAATGCCAGGTATTGTTACATGTCATCTCAACATAAATAGAAAAATCGATGTACAAGGTCATTGTAAACCCAGGTCCAAGTCCCAGGGTGAGATTTCCAAGTCACCTCCCTTCTGCAGGCTGCATACACAAGCCACTGACTGACAGGCTTTAGAAATTGGCTTCTGATCATTGTGCGTGTGCGTGTTTTAAAGACATAACGGAAACCCTTATCTGCTTAGTCAGATTGGTATACTGCATCTTACCGTGCCTTGTCACTTACTCTTCTCCAGTATTTCTGCTCATGTTTTCCTGAAGGAGTGGAAATGTCTTTTAAGGTGATACTTTGAAATAGTTTGGGTGTTGCCTTTTGACTTTTTAAGGTTCAGCTAGTTGAGATTTTTGAAGGAAACAGTCCTTGGAAGTATTAGTTTTTTCTAGTGCGGGAAGCACGAACATTTCATATATCCTATTGAGGCCTGATTTAAATACAAAATAACCTTTGCCTTACTTAAATAGCCTGCTTCTTATTTCAGATTGGAGCATATGATCAACAGATATGGGAAAAGTCAATCGAACAGACTCAGATTAAGGTAAATTGATTTCTTTGATTCTAGCTTTGTTTTACTGCATTAATGTGAAAAGTAGAATGTACTTTTTTAAAAATCTGCACTTACCCACCTAGTATGTTATTCCTTATTATCTGAAGTTTGTAAAATAACAGTGCCTGCATAACAATAAGTGACAGTTGGCCCCAGTAGCAGATGTCCCATGTAAATGGAGCTGTGGTTACATAGTGCTGGTCAGTTTTTGCCATATGGCACTTGAAGTCCAGTATTGCCAGAGATTGAGACTATTCGGAAAAATCTGGAAATATGCATTTTATGAGAAACATTCATATTTGAAGAGGGTGATTGTTCTCTCCCTTCTGTTCCTCTTTTTCTTCTCCATCTTCCTGCTGCTCCTCCTCATTATCATCACTGTGCAAGCCAAATAAAATTCACTTTTGGCCAGGGTCTAGCCTGGGAGCCCCCATTTTTTCAATCACTGGTTTAGACTGTGGTCTTGAGGTTTTTCAAGTATTTAACCTTTTGTGTACACTGCTTTTAGAACTGAGCAGATCCTTAGGTTCTATCAACCAAGCACTGATGTATAATTCAGAATGCCAGTTTATTAATTTATAATAGGAGAGGGAAGAGTTCAATTATCTTCTCATATTTGAAAGTCAGGCTTGTGGGGTCAAGAAATGCTAGCGCAGATTTAATGATTGCTCAGTAATCAAACACGATTGGATAGTCTTTGAGAGAGGTGGAGAAGCCTCAAGAACTAATTGTGGACCTCAAAACAATGTCTCCATCTATTGACTTTATAACAAATTCTATAGATTCAGGGTCTCACTTTCTTGGGGAGTGCTCATAATTGTCAGCAGATTCTTGGTTCTGTACCATCTTTTAAAAAGATTTGTTGCAGATCCTGTATTAATACTTTAAAAAATATTGATGATTACAACTTAGTAGTGTTCTACTTATCACACTGGTTATGCTGAACACTTAAATCTCTTTTGGTGAGGTCCATTTAACCAACATTTGGGATGCATTCCTTTATATGTCAGCCAACCTAAAGGCAGTTTGAGTTGCATGGTTCCTGATGAATGAGTCCCAAAGTTTTATTATATAATTCTCTAATTCTTGTCCTGTTATTCTTCTGTGAGCTTCTGGCAAGAGCTTAGAACTGGGATTTCTGTCTTGTTTTGTGATGTCTGGCCTTGTGATCTTAAACAAGTTACCGTAGTTGGTGTGGGTTTTCGTTCCCTTATCCTTAAAAGGATTTTACTTTCTCCTATGGAGTAGGAATTTCCTTTTTGGAGGAAGGAATCTCTTTCCTTGAGCCAGTTTAGATTTTCTCAACTCTTATTTCCATGCCATTTAAAACATGCCTTGTGTTCAGTGTACCTTGTCAAAAGTATTTGTTGATCTGGGTGTGTTCCCAGGCCTCCAAAGGCAGGAATTGTGTTTGTGTCTTGCTCTAAGAATGAACACAGCCATTTCGTGTTTCATACTGGCAATTGGTCTTTTGTATTTAATTGACCTCCATCCACTATATATAATTTTTACCCATTATCTTGTATAGCAGCCTACCTAACAGCTCCTTAATGTACATTTTTTAATGTAGCAGCAGCGGAAAGAATGAAATTAAAGACTGATAAACTTGTACTGAGTGACTGTGCCACACTTGTATCAAGGTGCTAAAAATACAATGAGAAAGATAGACATGGTTCTTGCTTTCATGGGTTCACAGTCTTATTGTGCTGTGAGAAAAGCCAAGAGATCTTTAAATATGTTTAGTGAGGACTTAGCCAGATAAAAAATAGACAACAAATAAAAAATGAGGAAATAAAAATCGAAAAGAGAAAGAAAATATTTAAAACAAAATTAAAAATATTAACATCACTTCATAGAATTATTATGTAATTTTAAAATACATTTATAAAAGCATGATTTAAAATTTAAGAAGACACAAATTTTAAAAATCTTTACATGGATCAAGAAAAGTGATGTGAACTCTTCCACAAACACTTATTGAGCTTCTGTGTTTAAGGCATTTTGGTAGGTGCTGAGCACAAGAGGAAAATATTAACAAACAGAAGTATAAGACTTATTTAAGGAAGAAGCCAGCAGCCCAATGTGATTGGAGCATAAGGTATGTAGATGGAGTGGTAGCCCATAAATTAGTTTGAAGAATACTTGACAGCTTTACTGAGAACTTTACTTAGATACTCTTCTGTAGAAAATGGAAAGATTTTGATTTTTTTAAAGTGCAGATATATACCATATCTGTTTTGAAGTATAGAAATAAAAATGTAGATATTGTAACACAATCTATAGAATGTTTCTAGAATGATACTGATGAAATTATATCACTTTAGATGTCTATGTTAACCAATATAGACTAGATGAACAAATATTTATAGTCTTTGTATAGTCTAGATTAATAAATACAGTTTAGATTAATATAGTCTAGATTGGCTAGAAAGAGTTATAATGAATTAAATTAATATTGAAGAATATAGAGAAATAAAATAGGAATAAGCCAAAGTAAAGTAGGAAAAGAATTATCAAAAATAAAATGAGCACAGCCATTTCGTTTTCTTCATTTAACAAGTATTTGTTGAATATCTACCTGCCACATGTCAGGCAGTAACTGTGTCTACCTAATGGTGAGCAGAAACACTCAACATTTTTCATTTCATGGTGTTTGTGGTAAAGTGGGAGAGAAACTGTAAAATTAATCCTACTAATGAACAAAAATTACTTTGTGATAAGTGCGAAGGAGTATTATTTATGCTTTATAATAACAAAATGGGCCTAGTCAAGGAGGTCAAATAAGCTCCCCCTAGGAATTGGTGTTTAACATGAGATCAGAAGAAAGAGAAGAAGCTAATTAGGTCAAGAATGAATACACTAATCCTATGCAGACTCCTTCAGAAAATGGAGGAGGAAATACACTCTCCATCTAATTCTATGGGACCCATATTATCTTGATACCAAAGCTGGGCAAAGACCTCGTTAGAAAATTGAGAACACAGGTATGAAGATCTTAAAAAAATATTAGCGAACCAAATTTGGCAGCATACAAAATAGATTACCTGTTGTGATCGATTGGGATTTATCTCAAGAATGCAACATTGGCTTAATATTTGAAAATAAATTAATGTGATATACCGTATTAATAGGATAAAGAACAAAATCACATGATCTCAGTAGATATAGGAAAAGCACTTGACAAAATTCAGTGCTCATTAATGACAAAGTAGGATAGAAAAGTTCCTGACCTTGTTCAAGACTGAGAAAAACGTGCCCCAAGCATCCTACTTAATGGTTAAGGAATGAATGCTCTCCCCGCTAAAATCAGGAGTAAAGAAAGGGTAACTCTCACCACTTTTATTTAACTTTGTACTGTATCCTAGCCAGTGCCGGAGGCAAGTAAAAGACAGAAAAAGCATCAAGATGGGAAAGAAATGAACTAATCCTATATTTAGAAAGTTTGAAGGAACTACAAAAAATTTCCAACAGATGAGTTTGGCAAAGTCTCTAGATACAAGATCAGTATACAAAAATGAGTTCTATTTGTATATACTAGCTATGAGTAGTAATTCACAAATGAAATTAAGAAAGAAATTCCATTCACAATAGCATCAAAGAGAATAAAAACACTTAAGTATAAGCTTGACGTAGAAAGTATAAGATATATATACTAAAAACTGTGAAACATTGCTCAGAGAAATTAAAGATATAAATAAAACATGATCTAGAAAATTCAATATTGAGATGTGCGTATAATAAGATCTGTCTAGACTGACTAGTTCATGTGATTATACATTGCAGCTAAGCAATGTAACTGTACAATATAATCTCTTCAAAATTCCAGCCAGCTTTTCTGTTTTGGGTAGAAATCAATAAGTTAATTCTGAAATTTACATGGAACGTAAAGGATGTAGAATATTGAAAACAAATTTAAAAAGTAGAGTTGGAAGACTTCATTAGCAGATCTCAAAATTTGTTATAAAGCTACAGTAGTCAATATAGAAGATGCTGGCATGAGTAATAGATTCATGGAACAGAACAGGAAATCTAGAAATAAATTCTTACTTTTTGCTAAGTTGACTTTTTACAAAGATGCCAAGAAATTTAATGAATGATGGTCTTTTGAATAAATGGTGCTGGAATAGTTGGATAGCTTCGTGTGTGAAAATGAACTTCAGTGTTTACACCATAAACACAAAAGTCACTCAAAATGACGATTTAAGTGTAAAAACAAAAACTGTGGATTTTCTAGAAAAAAATATAGGAGATCTTGGTCACCTTGGGATAGGCAGAGATTTCTTAGATGTGTATCTATGTAAAAAATTATGGTGGTGCATACCCTGGAGGAGGAGACATTTGTTTGAGGTCAGCCTAGGCTACGCAGTAAGACCCGACTCAAAAAGGAGTGGGGATGTATTTCAGTGGTAGAATGCTTGCCTAGCATGCACAAAGGCATGGGTTCAATCCACAGTAGTGCAAGAAAAAATTAATTGGACTTAATCAAAATTAAAGGTAATTAAAAAAAATCTGTCATTAAAAATATAAAAGACCAGCTGGATACAATGGCACATACCTGTAGTCCCAGCTACTCAGGAGGCTGAGATAAGAACATTGCTTGAACCCAGGAGTTTGAGGCAAGCCTGGAAAGGAAGAAGGGAAGGAGGGAAAGAAGAAAAGGAAGGGTACATGCTGGGAGAAAATATTTTAAAATCATATATATAATGGAGTTTTTTTTTTTTTTTGGCAGCACTGAGTTTGAACACAGGGCCTCACACTTGCTAGTTAGGCGCTCTATCACTTGAGCTACTCCACCAGCACTACATTATATTATAAACATATATATATACGTATACACATATACATATACATGTGTATATATATGTATATACGTATATATATGTATATATATATGATGGAATAAAGTCATTACAGAAGTACAATTTAAAACCATGATGAGGAGCTGGAGATGTGACTCAGTTGGTAGAGCATGAGCCTGTGAGTTCAAACCC